TCTTCTGCCTCAAGTTTTCATAGACTTCAGCCTAAAACATGCATCTGAAGAAACAGGCTCAAGGCTATGAAAGCTCATGCTACCAGCTTCTTTCTTTCAATTAATCTCAAAGCAACTACAAAATCCTTGTGCATACATATTTTCCAGACTTACATGGCTATGTCATTGCATACTAAGTCCAAAGGATGCATGATCTGATTAGCCAGAGGGGAGACTACAACTTTAGAGACCAGAGTTCAATTCCCCTCTCAGCCATGGAAACCCACTGAGTGACCTTGGGCAAGTGACACACTCTCAGCCTCAGGGGAAGACAATGGCAAACCTCCCCTGAATAAATCTTGCCAAAAAAAACCTGTGCTAGGTTTGCCTTAGGGTCACCTTAAGTCAGAAACAACAACAGCAGAGCCCCAGGAGGGCCCTATAAAACCTTTCAGTATGTCTACTTTTGATCACTAAGCAGCAGTCATATGAGCATCCTTATCTATACCTTCTTACTTGCCACCTCCTCAATAACCTGGCTGGAAACCCAAGGTGCTGATCTTTGCTTTTGTTCTCTTGTTTAAGTAAAACTTTCCCTGAGGCAAGCAGACCAATAAAAATAATGGATCAGGGATTGGAAAGGAGCAGATTGCTGGGATATTTTCTTAATAGGATATGGCAGGGATCAAACACTTTTTGCCTGAGAAGTTTCCCCTCTGTAGGAAAACTCACCACAACACTATTGTATATTGAGAAGACAGGATGACTTGCATCAGTTGTTCTTTCATGCCCACATCTACTTGGGAACCTGAATGTTAGACTCCTTGTAAAGGGCCTTAAATTTCTTTGCTTAATTTTCAATACCCCCCCCCCCATCACTCTGGAAGGGACAATGTTGAAATTAGGTACACCTTCAAACTTGTCTGTATTGATCACCTGACACATGCTAAAGCTTATCTCTGGATACATAACAAATTCAGAAACATAATTCAGAAACATTGGGGAGAATTTGGAGAGCTGTCATGTGTCAACATGGCATAGTGGTTTGAGTGTTGGACTACGACGACTCAGGAGACCAGGGTTTGATTCCCAGCTCTGCCATGAAACCCATTGGGTAGACCTTGGGCAAGTGACACTCTCTCAGCCTCAGGGGAAAGCAATGGCAAACCTCCTCTGAACAAATCTTGCACACACACACATGCGACATGATAGGGTTATTTTAGTGTCACCATAAGTAGGAAATGACATGAAGGCACACAATACCAAACATGTATGACTCCTGGGTTTTGTGGGCTTCAACATCTTTTCCAGATTATAGATTTTTATGCCTTGAATGGATATCAGAACGTAGTTTCTGTGGATATTTTTTCTTGGGGCACCATTCTCAAACCTTTATAATGCAAAAGGATTGTTTCTATTGGCCTGTTAAGAGGTTGACATTCTAGGCCATTTTTCTGGGATGGGGATTCCCCCCCCACACACACAAATCAGACTTCAAAATATGGTTTATCTGAAGACTGACTTGCTCTCCCCCAGCTAGTCATATGTGACTGCTGAATTGTTGTGTGGCTAACTGGAAAACTGGCATTCCAGGCTGTTTTCTGGAATACAGGGATTTTGCTCAAACAGATATGTTATTTCTGTGCAGGTTTTTAACTTGTGGGATCACACATGTAGGAGGGCAGCCCCACTTTCAGTTTTATGGTGCCCCCTACAGTTTCTCTGAGTTTGTATAGTTTTTTCGGGGTTTTCAGGCTGTGTGGCCATGTTCTAGAAGAGTTTCTTTCTGACATTTTGCCAGCATCTGTGGCTGGCATCTCTGAGTTTGATTTGTTCAGATCCTGCCTTGCCACCGCAAGTAGCTGGAATAGTGGATTCGCTGCTCCAATACAACAACAACAACAACAACAACAACAAATTAATGACATGTTTGGTGGTGCACGTCTGTACTAAAACCACAATTTCTGACATGGACCTCTTGATCACGGTCTGGACATGAAAGCTAAGCCAGTTAATACTTGGTTAGTACTTGAATAGGAGACCACCTCCGAATACCAGGTGCTGTAGGCCTATATTTCAGAAAAAGGAATTGACAAAACCATCTCTGAGTATTCCTTGCTTAAGAAAACCCTATAAAATTTTTGGGGTTTATACAAGTCAACATACACACACAGACCCTATCTTGTCATGTGTGACTGCAGAGATTCATTGGTTTGGCTTGACTGAAGGTAGGCTTTCTGGGCTGTTGTCAAGAATATCATTTTATCATGGAATGGATACTGACTAGTTGCTCAGAAGTCTGGACGTTTCTAGATTAGGGATTCCTTGCCTACAACGCATTCATAGAAGGTTCTGTGAAGGGTAACTGGAAAACTGGTCTCCTGGACGAACTTGAGAATATGGATGTTTCCCAAGAATGGGTAGTGGAAAGTAGTTCCTGCTGATATATATATATATATATATATATATATATAAAAGCATCTTACATCCCTCTAGTCCAGGGGTAGGCAACCTTTCCCCTTTAAGGGCCGAGGGACTTCAGCTCCCAGAATCCCAGGAGCTATTGGCCAACATGGGACTATTGGCCAACATGGCTGAGGCTTCTGGGAGCTGAAGTCCCTCGGCCCTTAAAGGGGAAAGGTTGCCTACCCCTGCTCTAGTCATATGAGATAGGTGTATGTAATTGGCATGGCAAGCTAGTAATTTGGTGTTCCAAATTTCTGTCCTACAAACTTAAGTCTGGCTTTGGTGGGCTTTTGGTGTTCTTTTAAAAAATTATTATTATTGTATGAATTTCATGAATGCTGTTAGCTGAGCCTCTGTTTTGCTGGAATGTGGTTTCTGGTGAAGTATTTTGGGTTGTAGCATTATCCCATCTAGTCATGTATGACTGTTGAATTCTAAAAGTTGGTATTGGAGACACTCAGATTGGGTACCAGAATGTGGAATTTCAGTAGAATTTGTTTGTCTCACATCTACTCAGGTGTCTCTATTGAAGTACAGGGATATAGTTTACTTGGCAATGAAGAGCCAAGTAAGGGTGGTTTCTAGGCATGAA